TGGTAGCTTTACCTAGTGTTTAAACTCATTTTGAAAATGTGACCATGGATTGCACTTTGTGAGTTTCTGCCCTGAGACCTATTTCTTCAGTTCTCCATGAAAGCTCAGGACCTGTGTTAGATGCTGATACAATGCCACAATTCATGGGATGGGACCTAGGAATTCACTCTGCCTTAGTGATTATTCACTACAAACTAACATTAGGATATAGTCACAAAAATGGCAGCAAAGGGGAGATTTTGCACCTTCTATCCAAGCATTGCTGCTGTAATCAAAATGAGACTGTACATTCCACTCATGGTTGTTTTGAAGTAGCATTTTTAACAATTAGGAGATCCAATCACGTATTTCCTGTGTCATGTTGCTTAGGACCTTAAAGACACAAAACTATGCATTACAGGATACAAGCAGGTATATTTAGACACAACAAAGTCCTGCAACTCCCATCATGGCTGGTTAGGGAATGTTGCAAGTGCAGGACTTTCTTCTGTTTAAACAGGCATAAGGTTTTATCTTAAGCAGAACCTTTAACTCAGCTTTCCAAAGTTGTGCTTCCCTGTTTTTTTCATACCCTTTATGCAAGACCTTTTTATTTAAACGCTATTTTAACTGTTGATTTTATGTATTGATTTTAAATCTGCTACCAGGATGTCTCCAGTATTTTATGCATTTTGTTTAGAAATATATTTATTTATGTATTGGAAGCCGCCCTGAGGCTTTTGCAAATGGGGTGGCATACAAGTTGTCCAAATAAATAAATAAATAAAACCAGGGAAAAGGAGGGGTTAATTCTATATTTCTCCATCCACTCTGGTCGAACTAAACATGTTAGGCCAAGGCATTTGGAGAGCCACAAATTGTCCACTCCTGCTTCTGCCTGAGACTGATATAGCTGAAAGAGCTTCTCCTTCCATACCAACCTATCTAGACCCTGAGATCATTACAGGAGGTCCTTCTTTATATTCCTGCCATAACGGAAGCGTATTTACTGCCTACACAAAGTAGGCCCTTCTTTGTGATGGCACTTTGACTTTGCACTGCTCTCCTACAGCAGTTATGCCTGGTATGAATACTGTACTCTTTTTGGTGCTTGGTCAAAAGCTGTTTGATCTTCATGTATGTCATTCCAAAGCTTTCTTTGAAAGGAAGTTACAGGGGTTTTTTAAGCACTGACATTAGTCATTTATCCAAAGAAAGTTCATTGATGAAAACCACTTACCAGACCAACAGCTGAAACCATTCTGTAATATCTGATGAGCAGGCTGTTTTGATGAGCAGGCTGTCATTTGCTTGTGGGCAGCTTTACAATTTGTATCATACCTGCTGTAACTTATGGGAGATCAAAAATTCCATCTTAGAATAGAAACATTTCCCATCTCCAGCACTGCATGAATTATTGCAAAACAGAACATCAGAGCAGGCCCTATGGAGAAATAATTAAAGTGAAAGGAGAACTTGCTCCAGGAAGTCCCACAAACAATTTATGCTGCACTTCTCTTTTGCCCTCATCATTACACAATATCTTTATACCACAAGAGATGCTTCCCCTTTTCATAGTACAGAGAGACAGAAAGGTTGCAATTTAATAACTGCGTACATTAAACAGCTTCCTTAGGCCACATATTTTATTTTATGGATCTGGTGAAGCTCATTCCTTTCTGATATGGCTATAGTTACAATAGCAAGGAGGGGGTCCTTACTATTTGTAGCAGGGGTCCTCAAACTTTTTCAGCAGGGGGCCAGTTGAAAGGTGCCAGTGCTGGGTGCCGGCTGGAAAGGTGGTGCTGGCGGTGAGGGGGCGGTGCAAGTGTGCACTGAGGTGGTGAGGCGAGGCACCGGCAGGCGGGCAGGTGCGTGCAGCGAGGGGAGGCAGGCGCACGAGGCAGCGGCTTGCTCACTTGGAGATCATTTTCTCCAAGTGAGCAAACCGCTGCCTCCCTGTGCACGGGGCGAGGTGGGTGGCAGTGCACATGGGCGCAGGCAGGGCAGGTCCAAATGGGCATGGCGGGCCGGATCCGGCCCCTGGGCCTTAGTTTGAGAACTCATGCTGTATAGGCTCAAAAAATCTGGGTGATGCAGTCCAGCCTCTTCAGAGATCTTCCTTGTTGTCCTTCCTTGCCAGCTCTGCCTCCTACAAGCCCTGATATCTCAATGAAACTTCCATGTTCAGCAAACATCATCTGTCTGGGTGCCATATTCCACTGATTCATATGTAGCCAGACTGGTGCCACCCCTGTCCATGGGTTTGCAGAAGTTTTAAAAAATTCTAGAATTTCCCTTGTTCCCTTGGGGTGCTGGGTAAAACATCCTAATTGAGGACTGAGCATACCAAATGGCCACAGAATGCCAAGTCTTTGTGGGTGGCAGAGATGGAATAGAGTATCCCAGAAAAGGGCATGTCTATGGTTGGAACCCTGAACAGAAATACCCCAGATTGCAACCTTTTGTTGCAGGTCTAATTTTTTCTCTTAATGACCTGATCTAACTCTCAATACCACACTCCCAGATTTTAAAACAGGCTTGCTTCCCTGAGTGCAGGGTTACCTCCCCTAGCAGTCCAAAGCAGTCCAAGTTAGCTCTCAGCCTAGAATGTAATACGGCAGCACATGATGTTATAATACATTCATGACATATGCACAATTCATGTTGCCACATTGTTGAGTTCAGCTGGTAAGGCTCTTAGAGGCATTTGCTTTGGCCACTATTGGAAAGACACAGCTACACTAGATGAAGTCATGAGTAACTTGTTCAAGATCAGAATCAGAAGGCAAAACTAGACGTAACATAGATTTGTAGGGAAAAGCTAGAAGATTTTTCCTGCCTCAACATGCATAAGCTTGCCACTTTACAATTTGAGCAGGAGAAGGACTACTTGGATATATTTATAACAACAATATGCTTCCTCCATACTTCTAATAAATAACAGGAACTCTGATTCCAGATTTCCTGATGTCATGTCAAGTTCAGCTCCAGAGGACATGCAGCCCAAACACCAAAGCTGCCCAAATTATTTCCCCTTAGAATGATAACTCACAACATCGGGCACAGTGCTGTGGAATGCTATGCTCAGAATTGCCTCCCCACCCACTGCCCATATCCTTCTCATGTATGTACAGACAAAAAGGAAAACAAATGTCTGCAGGATCCCAGGCAATGCAGCACGTACATTGTTCCAGCCTTCCCTACTGGTGCCTTTCCAGCCACCACAGCCCAACAAGTCTGGAGGCTGCTTATACGGAAAGCAGGGACTGAGTGCTGTGAAGCTCTTTTGTACTGTTACTGGTGCTCAGCTCCAGCACAGAGTCTACAGCTCAGGTTGGACCCAGACATCCTGCTTGCTAGCCCTTCAATGAGGTCAGCTAGCTTGGCAAGCACAAGATTTTGTGACAGGGCCTTTTCAGTGCTGGCTGTTTTTCTGGAACTCCCTCCTACAGATGCTTCCTCTGTAGTTGCACTGAAATACCCTCCAGATACATTTTTGCTCTAAATTGCTGTTGATGTTATCCTGAAGTTTTCTGACTGTTTTTGGACTAACTGTACTTAGAAACATAGAAACAGAGCGAGTCAGAAGGGGCCTCCCAGGTCATCTAGTCTGACCTCTGGCACCAGCCGGCTCCGCTCACGACATGCCCACCATTATTTGTCTAGCTTGGGATGTTGTGATGCTGCTGCCTTAAGTTTGATGTAATTAAGATGTGCTTTATATCTGTTTGTATGAGAATTTTAGTTGAAAATGTATTTGTACCATCTAGTTATATGGTAAGCTACTTGGTGGAGGCTCTTTGCCTGGAAAAGCAGTTTGTGCATATGTAAGTGTGTGTGCAAGCATGTGTGTGCGTGTGCATCTGATATCTACATATATCTCACAGTGGTTATTTATTTAATTTCTATACTACTAAAGTTTTACTCTGTCCCAACAGGAAAGGTATGCATGCTGAGCACACCAAGTAAGAAATGACAGTGGGGAGCAGTCCAATACACTGTTACTCTTGACTATTATTGTTTCTTGGTAGGAACCGGGGTGGGAAAGAAAGGGGAAAATATGATGGGATGAGGAGTCAGATGAACTAGAAGTGATGCACATAAGCACCCATGGTTCATTAGTCTGGGATCAACTGCATTTCAGAGCTGCAAGATGAAATCTCCATCTCAGACTCCTGAAATGTGCAAAGGATGTTGCTCTAACTATAGCAAGGTTGTTCTTTTCCCACTGGCGAGTCTCCTGTGATTGTCACAAGGGCAGACATGCTGGAACCCTCCGTGTGTTCGGGATAACAGCTCCTGCTCTCCTTGATCATAAGCCATGCTGGCTGGTAGTAGCACAACCTATCTGGAGAGTATTCTTTACAAAGGGAGCCTTTCTAGCTGGATCCGATTGTTGGAAGCGGCGGGGGGAGTGGAGCTTCACCAGTCGAATTTCTGCGCAATAAATAGTGCTGCTGTCAAAGAGAGCTTTGCGACAGAAGGCAATTTATCCTTCCACAGTGAGAAAAAGCGCAGTTGGGGTGCAGTCCTACGCGAGTTTAAACGGAAAACTGTCTTACAATTCTCAGCATCCATCAGCTCTGGCTGGGGGCCTGCTGGGAGCTGCAGGGCTTTTTTCTTCTTCTTTTTGCCTAAATGTGCGTGGGTTTGTACAATTAGTGAGCTCGCCCTACCCACAAAGAATATAGGAGAGCCTTCCCCAACCTGGTGCGCGCCACATATTTAGGACTTTAATTCCCATCAGCCCCAGCCCGCTAGATCGGTGGTCAGGGATGCTGCTACGTGCCCTCTGAAACATCTGCAGGGCTTCGGCTGGGGAGGAATGGGGCTCAGGTGCTGGAGCAGCCACCCCGGCTTGCAACGCCGCGAAGGGCGCAAGCGAGCGCGGCCGCGCCCAGCCTGCAGCCGGAGCTTCCGCGAACTCCGAGCCGCCGCTCCAGGGAGGAAGCGTGCGCCGGAGGGGCGGGCTCTCGGCCACCCGCGCCTCTGCAAGGGAAGGAGCGACTCTGGCCGGGCGGGCAACTTTCGGGTCTCTTCTGATCTGCGAGCCGCTGCGGCGGCTGCCTCTAGCTGTGGACCTCATGGCTCAGCAGCCGGGGAACGGCGGGGCGCAGAAGCCGAGGCTGGCCAAGATCGTCATGGCCGGCGAGTCCTGCGTGGGGAAAACGTCTATCCTGAGGCGCTACATCGAGCTCTGCCCGGCCACGAAGTCGATGCCCGCTTCCTATATCGCCACCATCGGTGAGTGGTAGAACGGAGTGTCCCGTCGGCGCCCGCTCTCTCTCGCCCTCTTCCCTCAGTTGGTATGTGTGTGCGCGCGCGCGTGCTTTTTACTTGCTCTCGTCTCCCTGTTACGTCCTGATTTTCTTTAGGGTTTTTTCTTTCTCTCAGCAAATCTACATTGGCCGAGACCAGTATTTTCGGCAGCGTGTGCCGTTTTCCAGGATCCACAGACTTCCACACGTCACTGTCAAGTCTGCCCGAAGAACTCTGCGAAATTCGAAAACGTTCATACTAAAACTTTGCAGCTCAGCTGTTAACAAGGGGAGTTATTCTCAGATCATGCCCTGGCAGACATCAAACCCCTCTTCTGTGATGCCTTTCACAATCCCTTAATTCCCATGCCTTACTGGAATCTTTCCCAACCTAGTGTCTTTCAGATGTTTTGGACTACAACTCACAGTATCCCGAGCTAACAGATCTATCCACATGAAGAGGCCACCGGATTGAAAGGTTGCCCCACTATTATTATGTAGAACAGCAGCTCCAATCCAGTACAGTATTACCTGGAAGTAAGCCAATTGAACACAGTAAGATTTACTGTTGAGTAAACATGCAGGAGTTACACAGGGATTCATTCCTTTTTGCTTTCCTGTCCCCACTTCCCTCTCCCTTTCCCCATATTGAAATTTAGATTGTAAGCTCTTTAGAGGCAGGAATATTATCAGCTCAAGATAATTGCCCGCCCATTCTGTGAAACCAATTAAAGGTGCAATCCTATGCATATTTAGATAGATAAAAGGCCTACTGTTCCCTAAGCTTGCATAGCAGTATGCCCTGAGTGGCTTAGATTTTGGGAGCTCTCACTCAGGAAAGGATCTGCCAGGGCTCAGCTGTAAGGAGGCATTCAGAAAGCCATGCAAACTTTTCTGGTTGGAAAGGCATTTCATCATTTGCACATTAATAATACAGTGTCATCAGTATACATAAAAACAACAAAGAATCTTGTGGCACCTTAAGGCAAATGTATTGTAGCATAAGCTTTTGTGGAATAGAGATGCATGAAATGTTATCCTGAGTTACAGGTGAATATATACATATGGCTGGAGGGAGAATGTAAATGGGGAGAGCAGAGGGAAATGAAATGCAAACAGTGATAAGTACTTTATTAACAGTGGCCATCCAGGAAAGAGTTGTGTGATAACACAGATGATCTGATGAACTGGTGATCTGATGAACACATGTAGTGTGCTTTTTTGTTTTTGTTTTGTTTTTTGCTTTTGTTTTTTTAACTGTCTCTATTCAAGCTGCAGGAGATCTGAATTGAACCTACAGAAGAATTGCAGTTCAACTGTTTCACACTGTAAACCATTTTTGAAGTTCCTTTGTTCCTGAATGACCTCTACAAGGTTAGGGTCAACAAGTCCTGGACAGTTGAAATGCTTCCTTACTGATTTGTGAATATTGCCATTTCTAGTGCCAGTATCTGTCAAAGCTCTTGTGTAGAGAATGGCCAGTTTGTCCCATGCAAAAGCGGATGGCTAGCAGATGATGTGCCATGTATGAACCCCCAATGTTGTGGGTGACACTGTTCTCTTTTGTGGTGCTGCCGGAACAGAGCTGGGAAAAGATTTGACATCTTGGAACACCAAAGGGTCTATATCTTGTATTTGTATCTCCATGCTGTGTTCCGTTTACAACATTTCATAAGCAGGGAGGGAGGGGGAGCCCTCATTCTCAAAGAACTTACAGTTGAAATTTTGATAGTGACAAGCAAAGGCAAGGGTAGCAATAATGTGGGCAAGTGTGGTAAACATGGTTACAGGTAGGGTTACAACTGGACACATGACATTTACCATTAAAGTTATAATGTATGAAATGACTAGTTTTTGGGGGAGGGTTCGCCGAGGGACATAGCTTATCACAGCATCATGTGTAATCTAACAGATTTCAGTTGGCTAAGGTTGCAATCCTGTACTCATGGGACTTTACCCCATTGAACTTAATAGGCTTCCTTCTGAGTAGAAACAGGCTTGCACTCTCAATGTGCCTAAGTTTGTGCTGGATCATGGCCATGATTTTTAATTTTTTAATTCCTTGTTTCATTGTTTATCATACTGAAAATCATCTTGATTCCTCTTTCAAAAAAGTTACCTGCAGGCACGTAAATAAAATTAGTACTTGGTCCTTGTATTTGAATTTTACTGAGAAATCCACATGTATGCTGAATAGAATACTTTGGATATCCTTCAGTCCCAGCGATTTCCATTTGATTCTGCAAACTGAATAAAAGTGTCAGAATCTTTATGAGAGGTAGATGAGTTAAGACTAGATTCTGTCAATCTGATGTAAATATGCTAACGAAGCTCTGCTCTTTATAGTCAACCCCATCTGGAAGTTTACCATTTAAAGCAGCTGCCATCAGCCCATTGATTCTGAGCAAGAAAGTAGCCTCTCCTCTGGGAGTGAGAGAAGAGGGAATAGACCCATTCTCTGTGAAAAAGGATAATCGGAAAGAATTGGCAGCCAGTTCTGTGATGGGAGGGAGAGCAGGAGAAGTACTGAAAACCAGTTGGTGCATTTGCAAAGATAATAAATAACATTGTGTAGGCACAGTGAAGAAAAGCGGAAGCAAGCCTTGTTACAAGTAATTGTGGAGAATAAAGAGGATTACCACTGTGTGGACTGAGACGGCTGGATTGTCTTCAGATACGTGTCCATGTCAGGTTCAGAATGGGGGTGTAACAACTTAGCTGGCTAAGAGAGTACATGGACAAATCAAATAGTTGCTTAGGGCCTGACCAGTCAGTTGACTGGGCTGTCTTTGAAAAATTTCCACAAACACAAATCACAATTGGATGTGCCCTTGCTTGATTCACATTAGAAAGGTTTGCAGCATCTTGCAAAACTGTAGTTTGTATGCAAGCCAGACTATTTAGATACAGTCCTTTCACCACAAGCATAACAAAATCCAGTGAGGAAAAAGTAGCAAATGCTGGGCCACATGTAGAATGTTTATCTGAATTGACTGGGCTAGTTGATTTTCATGTTGCATTTACTTATTTATTCATTTATTTATTTTTAGTCCCTATTTGGTTGGTGCCTCTGGCCTGGTTCACATGCAACAGCCCAGGGCAAGAGAGAGGGACAGCTTCTTGATTGCTTTAGCTGTGCAAAGAAACAGGCTGATTCTTATCCCATGTGAACCAAGAACACTTTCATGTTTTTCCTTGAGGAAGTCAGAAATAAAATCCATGCTTAGTTGTTCAGTTATTTCTCTGGCTTGTCAGGGGAGAGAATTCCTGGTTTGCACAGGTTTTAGCCCCATGGGCTAGTCTAGCCAAAGAACCCCACTTTCAGTTGGAGGCTACTGAGGAGGAAATGAAATGGTCTGTGCCAAAGATGATGTACCATTTACTGAAAACAGTATAGAGATGAAATGCAGGTTATCAGTACAGAAACAAATAAGAGCTTATAGACATCTCTTTAGTCCCAGCGCTTCTTGATGTGACAGGCATCTTTCCTGGAGCATAATGTTACATGCACACATTGTACAATCCTGATGCAAAGCAGAAAGCATAAGAAGAGTGCCCTTTGCCATGGATTTTATACAGCTCTCTTCCTCCTCTGTTTTCAGAGGATATCAGTATACCTGGGCTGTTGTAATGTGTGAATTAGCTGTTTTCTCACCAGCCTTGGTTGGATATCAAGAAGCAGTGTGCTAATGCTCAACCAAATGCACAGAACACAATTTAGCATTTCAGTTTTGGTGCTGTTAATAGATCATTGTATATTTAAAAATGTCAATACTTCAACTAGAAACAAGAAAAGATAATAGCTTTTGATGTCTCTAGATATTCAGGTGACCTGATTTGCCTGTCAAATCAATATCCTCCAGATACCACGAGTTGGTTTTTTTTATATCATTATGTGCAAATAACAAATGAAAGGAAGGGAGGTTTTTGTGCATGGGTGAGACACCAGCAGAGGATTAACAATCAATCAGAGAACAATTCCAGAAAAAGTTATAAAATTGCATTACATGTTTCTGATTTATCCTCTCTGTAGTACATGATTCATTCTTTAATGGACAGGTCTAAAAGGTCTCCAACTCAGTTTTCAATTAGAAACATGGAATATGATTTCTAGAACTATAAGTAATACTCTTCTAGCAGAGTGATGCTCTGATGTCTTGAAAGAAAGTTATTAAATAATTGTTCTAGCCTTAGAAACAAAATTAAATTAATTATATCCTTGACATCTCTCCAAGAGGGCTCAGTAATATGGCACTTCACTTGCAATATGTGTGCATGGTAACATTTCCAAACCTTAGCATTTCTTCAAGTACATATTCCTGAATTCCTGTGAGCAATTAAAAGCCATCCCTGGGAGAGGATGGATGATTAAAAAAAAGCAAACCAATAATATCTCTGTCACATGACAGAGGGTAGACCAACCTTCCTCAGCCCAGTGCCCTCCAGATGTTTTGGATTTCTGTTCCCCGTCAGCCATAGCCAACACAGTTAATAGTCAGGAATTTGTGTATTTATCATGTAAAACATCTGGGGGGCAACAGGTTGAGGGAGGCTGGACCAGACCATGGGGCTGCATACAGTCAGCAGGAAGAAGCTTGAGTGGAAGCTGGCTAACAGTATAGAGATTAGGAAAGTGGGTGGAGCAAGGGAACTGAAGGGACACGTTCAGAATAGAAGGCTTGCATGCCTTAACATGGAGTTGCAGAAAGGATGGCTAAGGTTGATGCCACCAGACCATCTTTCTCACAGGACCTATAGACAGCAATGGACCTGTGAATGGGCAGATAATAGTGCCATGAACCAGAGAGATGGCAGAGGTGGAGCAGAAGTGCTGAGTTCCTTTTTTATTTTAAAGAAATTTTATTAAAATTTTAAACTAATACTAAAAACATCAATCATCACATACATCGGACTTACTGGTGTCCCCTACTACATATCTTTTAACATTCTATGATCATATTCAAATCCATTTATAATAACTTGAAA